AGCCACTGAGCCCTGGAAATGTGGCTACTATGCCTGAGGAACTGGCTTTTCCATTTTTATTTAATTTTAATTAGTTTAAATTTAAGCAGCCACACGAGGCCGATTACATGCTCCTGGATGAGCTAACTAACGTGAGCCAGTTGTGCAGGTGCTGGTAGCTGAGGCATCAGAGGGGAGTTTCTGTTCCTCAGTTCTGAGATGTTCAGATGAGACTGGTGTGGAGGGTTTTGAGCGGATGGAACTATTTTCACCTGCCCTCTTACCATGCCTGACTCTACTACAGTGACTATTCTCATATTTCTCTATGATTCCATTCCTCATATTCTCCCCTGATGCTGGTTTTTCAGTTTTTCTGAGCTCTCAATTAAACACAGTGAGATGAATTTTTTCCAAGGGCCTTTTCTATAACTAATGAGAACAGTTGACTCAGAATGCTACAGAGCCCTTTCCCTCAGGAAGAACCAAGTTTTACCATTAAGACCCTGACAGATTCACCAGTGTTACCCTATACTGCTTGGGGTGGCTGCCAGGTTCATACTTCTTCTTCTCTAGGAAGACTCCCAGACACACAGGGCTCAGTCCTGAGTGATCGTATCTGAGCCATGCTACCTTGTTACCTTTGCTAGAGATCAGTGCTGGGAAACTTTCATTTGGGTCAGACGCAGCTGGAGGACTTATTAAGGACCCTCCCTAAAGGGTCTTCCCCAGTTGAGCTATGGGTACCACCCCAGTATTTGCATGTCTAACAAGTACTCAGATGACACAGACACGGCTGGTCTGGGGACGTGCTTTAAGAACCACAATTGTAGATAACTGAGTCAGGGCTCATCTTCCTGAGATAGGACAATCAGTTTCTCACAGGGATCTGAAATTTGGAATAAGGAGGCTCAGCATCTGAGAGCTGTTAGCAGTTCCCTGGGCAGTGGTTCTGAAAACTCCTACTGTTTAGGTTCCCAGAGCTGGTCTGGCTCCTGCTCTTCCTGCGCCCCTGTTGTTGAATCCTTTGATTAACTTTCTTCATTTTGCACAAACTGGCCATAGAAAGTTTTTATTGCCTGACCCTAAAAACTTTAATTTAGATATGAGTATGTCAGTTAAAGTGTTTCAGCAGGAAAACAGAAACCATTTTAAGTAGTATTTAAAACAGAGATAATACAGTACAAGGAATTGGTCACGCTTGTGCTTGAAGATCTGTGAAGCCACGACCAGAGACCAGAGATTAGCAACAGCAGGAAGCTTTCTCCACCCCTAGTCTGGAGGAAGCTCATCTCTCCACCCCCAGGGTGGAGGGACCTGGGAGTAAGTAGCCTTAGCAGAGGCCAGCGTGACCTGGAAGAAGCCGGAACCACATCAGACCAGTCCAACAGAGGAAAAGGTGCTGCCACTGCCAGCAACATCACCTAATCCACCTCTGCACAGCTCGAGAAATACCCTACCTAGCTTCTCCCTTCCTCCTGCCTGCGATCTCCGGTGAAACCTCTCCACACTGGAAAGCTCCAGAAGGTTCCCTGTGACACTGAGGACAGCTGGAGCATCGAGGAAGGACAAGGTAAGGTACTACTCCACTCTGAATTTCTCATCTCTTTTCTTCAAAGTACACTGCCTACTCACAAACTACAGTGAGATGACATGTGCATGCCTAGTGGTTTCTAAGACCCTCTCATTAAGAATTTTTATGTAAATACATTTTAATTTTATTTCATTATTATTATTATTATTTTGCAGAGACAGAGTCTCTCTTTATCACCCTTGGTAGGGTGCCGTGCTGTCACAGCTCACAGTAACCTCCAACTCCTGGGCTTAGGCGATTCTCTTGCCTCAGCCTCCCGAGTAGCTGGGACTACAGGTGCCCCCCACAATGCCCGGCTATTTTTTTGTTACAATTTGGCCGGGCCGGGCTTGAACCTGCCACCCTCGGTATATGGGGCCAGAGCCCTATCCACTGAGCCATAGGTGCTGCCTGTAAATACGTTTTTATTGTTTTGTAATTAAGCCTCACATTTCTGAGATAATCTTTTGGGAAAAAATTGCAAATTATAAGCAGCACTAATATTTGTAAAATTCTTTACAGTATGAAAAGTGTTTTCACTTGTTTCATCAAATTTCAGCCTTAAAAACCTTATGAAGTACGTATTACTGCTAACCCCATTTTACAAATGAGGAAACTGAGGCTCAGAGAGACTATGAAACACAGATAGACAAAGTAACGCAATGGTAAAATTGGCATAATCCCAAACCTGGGCTCAGAACACAGGCTCAATTATTACAAAACAATAAGCTATTTTCTCAAAACACATGCAAGGCTACAAACTTTAAATTCTTTCTTTCTGTTGATATCTCATTTCCTCCCTTATCTAAAGCCCAATATCTAGAGTAAAACCTTGTAGCCAGAACTGGGAAAGGTCATTTTGAAAGATCAGCAAAAAAATGCTCAATGTGCCTCCCCCACTTCCCATCCCCCAGCACGTATAGATGGTCAATTAATCGTACTCTGAATGATCTGAACAGGTTCCTAATTAGTAGGCAACAATTATGGGATGACGCAGGGCCTTTTGTACGATTATTCTAGAACAGCTGAAGTCACTTAGAAAGGTAGTAAAGAAACCCTTTTGACTGAGAATATCCATTAGATAGAGTGGATGTTTCTGCCAGTTTAGGAGCTGCTTGGCCACCTAGAAAAAATTAACTACAAACATACACGTGATTTTCTGTGAACACGAGAGAGCGAGTGTGAGCTCCTTTCTGTTTCTGTAGAAATGTTTAAGCTTCCTCTGGCCCCAGTTCTGCAGACTGTATTGCATTTCTGATACTAAAGAGCCATCTTTGTTTCCCCTGGTTACCAGTGAAACTGCAGGGATCACTTTAAATTCATCACCACTTATGGAACATTTCACAATGCCCTCTTCCTATACCATCTATATTTATATCTATTTAAAAAGAGGAATAACTAACATGTGTCCTTGCCCACACTTCTGTGCTGATTGTCCATTGTGCGTGCTGTCCTTTGTATGAGGTAAGCTACATCACATGGCGCATCCCTATAATATCAATTGTTATTTTTTTTTCTGGCAGACCCCCATCCTCTTCTTCATTGCTGAAGACCCAAGAGAACTAGCTGTAAGGAGATTTCTCTTATAAAATTACTCCTTAGAGTGTGCCTTGTAACAGACTTTTCACTACAAGGATAAGCCCTGTCTTACATAGACGCTCCACGTTCAGTTTATTGACTCAATAAATTTCAGGCTCACTGATTATGTTTCCAACTAAAAGCTTCACACAGTTATAAAATAGGAAGAGCCTTTAGAAACCATCTTAGGTCAAGTTTCTTTCTGAATTTTTCCACAATGAACTGTAATACATTATGTCTACCCATTAGCTACAAGATCACTCACTGTGCCCCAATCTCATGGCCAAGAGAACATTTGGATTGTATGGCTTCCATTTAAGATAATATTTGAAATGGATGGAATAGCTCAGGACAGAGGACCAGCACTGAAAGTTATCTTCCTTTGGGTCTGGTCTATAAAGAACAGGTTTGTTTAAAAAAAAAAAAAAATCAAAATTCAGCCCTAAAAACGTCTTTCTCAGCAAAACAAATGATTTCCTCTCCTGGGAGATCAACTAGGTCTATGAATATTTTTTCACTTGAACCCAACTTAGTGTTGCAGAATGAAATGAAACAGGAAGCGGGATGAGACTCTCACCCACAGGTAGGTAGAAAGTTGTGTGAAAGCAACACACAAGCCTTCTTTTAGGATGTAGTCTTTTACAGGTTTTGCTAATGGAATGGGGATATGTGAGTTGATCTATACGAGATTGAAACACATCGAATGCCTTTGTAATTTGCACATACAACTCAGATAACTGAATTCATTCTTTTTTTCATATAAAAGACACCTGGAGATTCGCTCTTCATATTAATAGTTCATAATTGGTATTCACTGAATCGAAAAATGCCACGGAAAAAAGTTTATGTACTAATGAAATTTGCCTAAAGGGTGAGACTTCTACTGTATCTTTCACTTACCTTTAAGAAACATTTAGGTGTATGTATTGCCTTCAAGACAATTCTCAAACTTCGCGATGTGGCTTTGAAAGCTATGGAAAATGAAGGGAGAATGCTGTGGGTTTTTAAATATATGTATACATATGTACACAATGTATTAAAACTTTAGCCAAGGATGTTACCTTCCGGGGGGTTGAGAGCCACTAGGGCGGGAAGTCTGGGGCAGGACTGAACAAAAGCATGGCTGCGCGGCAGTGTTATCCCTGCAGCTGCAGCCGGCTCCGGACTGGGGTTGCTGCCACTGTCTTGTGTTACACCGCATTTTTATTAGTGACAACCTGTCACTTCAGCAAACTGAGTTGTTCCCCGCGTTCTGCTTAGTTATCTGCTCTCTGTTAAATGGGGAGAAGGAAAGAAAAAAGAGGTTTGAATGGAGTGGGGTATACCGAGATAGTTCCCCCCGGGGCCGGCGTCGCCCCGTCCTCCAGGACGTGGGGGTGGGGATGGGGGTGGAGGGATTCCATGACCACTGAGTCCTACAATTTAGTTGCTATGTCTGGGGAAGGCAGAGAGTCTTCGTCCTTTCCCAGCTGGAGTCAAGAGAGCCTGGTCTGTTAGAGCTGCCTGGCTGGTGCAAACGGGCCCCGGACCGCTCGGAGCCCGCGCCCGGCTGAGGAGAGATCAAGTCAAGGGGCACAACCGCAGGGGGCAGCCGCCTCCGGCCCGCGCTACCACAGCTCGGCTTCTGCGCTACCACCGCTTAGACTGCGAGACTGTAAGGCGGGGAGGGGGCGGGTCCCGGCGGGGGCGGGTTCAGGGCGGGGCCACAAGGCCGAATCCTGTGTCGGGAGGTGTAGTTCCGCCAGCCCCGGCAGCGAGGCCGTCCCGGCTCTGCCAGCAGGTCTGGACTACAACTCCCAGAGGTCAGCGGGCCCGGCCGGAGGGGCCATGCGCAGTGGGCGCCACCTTGTATCCTATCAGGCGAGGAGAGGGTGATGTCACCTGCGAGTTGGTAACCTACGAGCGGCTGTGAAGGAAACTGTTTAACCGGATCCCATTGTACCCAGAGCGCAGAGCCGCCTTACCAGCATGCAGGGGCTGCTCAGGTGAGGGGACGCGCCGCCTCGCCCACTGCGCTCATTCATTAAGCTGCACCGCGCGGGGGCGCGGGGGTGGGTGTGCTCTGGGGGCCGGACGCTGGGTCTGCGGCGTGCCCTCCTGCTGCCTCCCGGTAGCTATCGGGCAGTAGGTAAATATTAAACCCGTCCTTCAGGTTGGGTCTGGGTGGGAACGGGATGGAGACAGCTCCTGGCTGCCAAGCTGAGGATGAGAAAATGGCTGCAGCAAAGCGAGGCGAGCCCGGAGGAAGGCGCCCCGAGGACGAGGGTCCCTCCCATTCTTTCTGGGGCGCGCGGAGGGCCGGGTAGCCGGGGAGGACTGCTCGCCGCTCTGCCCCAGGCTCCCCGGGGCTGGGGGCTGCGGGCGCTGCCTCAGCGGCCTGGAGCCCCTGGGCCGGCGCCTCGGGGAGGCAGAATCTCGAAGCAGGCTCGTTGGACAGAGGTGGCGACAGGACAGAAAGGACCGTGTACCCCTCCGCGTCGGGGCAGAACCTTAGCCACCCCTGACACCCTCACTTCAAGCCCCATTCGAAAGGGGCGGGGTGACTGCAATTCAGGCAAAGTTGGTGTTAAACGTCTCACTATGGAGAGGAGGGAATCCGGCGTTGCGAAGGGAGCGTGGAGTATTGGCGGACCGCGGCGAGGGAAGGCTGCGCCGCCTGCGGACCCAGTTGGAGGCGCCGCAGAGCACTCCTGCCAACTGCCCCTCTCGGGGAGTGCACCGCAGTCCCCCGATCACGCCCTCGGCAAAGAGCACCGGGGCTGGGTCGGAGCACCTGCTCTGGAGCCCTGGGCCAGGAGGAGCTGGGAGGATTGGGGGTGCCGGATACTCTAGTGATAAGGCTTGCCATGGGGCGGGATGTCTGGATAATCGGGTTTGCCCAGCTGGTGCCGAAACCCAGCTGCTTGCGACCCGCTTGCCCTGTAGAGGCGTGCGCGAGGCCCAGAACTCTAAAGTTCCCTGGTTTTCCTATGCCTTCCTACCTTCGTTAGTTCGTTTTCTCATTCATCAAACCCTGCTAAGGTCTCAAGTTGCTCACAGCCTGGGTTTGGGGTGTTCCGGATCTTGCCTTGTAAGATATTTTAGTGGACTCAGGAATAGATTGCTACACTCCGTTCCTTCCTCCCCCGCCTCTGTCCTTAGGAGAGCATCAGACACAGATCCCACTGGTGACCGTTTTGCTCTCCCTGAGCTGATAATTTCTTGATTCGAGCTCGACCCAGAGAACTGAAGGCGAGTTTGCCTGCAAGATGAATCCCGTTGCCATGGCGACTTCTGCCTTCGGAATCTTAACTGCTGCCACTGCTGTTTCGATTCGTTGTGGCTCTGCGGGCAGCTGGGAGGGCGTGGCCGGTGGGTGTGGTCACATGCTAGCCCTGGGCCCAGCTGCTCTGTCCTTCCCACCCCTTTCACTGCCCTGGACCCTCCCCATTCTCCTGTGAATGCGGGAGTTTGGACACAGTTCTTAGCCCCCTTTCCCTCTCCACTGCCTTACCTCTCTCCACCGCCCTCCCTGAAGCTAATTATTTGGCTCCTTTTTCCTGAGGCAAACTCTGGAAATTACTACTTAAAAGAGGTCTTTCTTTTTTTCGACTGGCCGCATCATTTTCCCAGTAAAGTACCTTGTAGTGTTGGAGGCGGCTTTCTCAAGAAGGGCTCTCCCTTCCCCCCGTATTCCGCATACAGGGCCTGGTCACAGGAAAGGTCCTTAATTTGCCCCAGGTGGAGCTGACTGGAAGTGATTAGAGAGAATTAAAAACCGAAGTTGAATTTTCGAAGTCCCTGTCATCCTTGTAGTTCTCATAAACTCTAAACGCCCATGCAGGTCTGGAGCGTGAAGTGCTCTGGCTCTCTCAGTACTGGCCAGTCCAATCTGGGGTGACCCTTTTCTCCAGCGACCTCAGTGTCCTCACTGGTAACACGAGGACGTATGGAAGGTTTCCTAAAGATGATTCTAGGTGTAAAATCTTGTGATTCTAAGAAACACTTGGACATTGTCCTGGTTTTTTTTCTCCCTACAAAGTAATATGAAGATGAGGGTTTAAACCCAGCTTCTGACACTGTGCACTGGGTTAAGATCTCAGCTTTACTTGTATAGCAAAAGAGCCTGATTCTTTGTGGCAACTCTTCAAAGGAGATGAGGCAACATTACTATTTATCATATTGTTTATGCTACCACTATCCCAGTATATGAACTCTTGTAATTATACCTTAGTTTAGATTATGCATTTTTTTTTTACAGATTCTTGATGAATGCAGTTATTTGTAACCACATTGTGTGAAATTACATTGTACAAATACTTTGTTTCCCTCTGCTTGCATTTTGTATCAAAGCGTATTGTCACAGAAGTTGCAGTTTGGAGGACAAATGTGTAATGTGAATGCCTATGAAAGTGCGTTTGTGTGTAGGTAAATGCTCGAGGGTACTGTGTGCCGCGTGGTTGACGCTCATCATCCTGATGGGGAAACAGTGTCAGTTGTCATTTACTTTTTATTTTTGTCTTAGAACTTATAATAATTAAATACAAATTTTCTTCATTTTTCTGTTTGTCTCCCCTATTAGATTACAAATTCCTTGAGAGCAGGGCCTTTGACTTGTCCTGTTCTGTCTCCTAAGCATTACAGCAGTTTGTCCATTGGAGGTCTTTAATAAATACAGTTGACCACCCAAACAGATCAACACATGAAAGTGGTCAACATAGGAAACTAGGCCTGCTGTACTGATTGAACACTTTGGTGCATGTTCAGTCTATGAAAATTAGGTCAACTTGACGGGGTCAGTGTAGAGAGTTGGTCAGCTATGGAGGTTCTACCACATTTCTTGAATGAATGTTAAATAGTAGAACTAAGATTAGGGATCTAAGGACTGTATTCTTTCCGCTGAAAGTTTTGTCATCCATTGTAATATTTCCTTTTAGCTTTCTGTGAAGCATTTTCATTTCAGTATAAACCAGAACTCCTGTCTGACATTAAGGGCCTGTATGCATTTGAAATAGATGTATTTTGTACTTACATGCTTTTAAGAATGCATTTACTCACATAGAGTTTTTTTTTTTTCTAGTTGCAATTTCTTATTATCCCAAATCAGGCATTTCTGGATTCCTCTCAGTTGCTGTGGCCCAGATAGGGCCACAGGAGCTGTGTGACAGGTGAATAGGAAGGAGACTGAGGCTCTCTCTAGAGGCTTTTGCCAGGCCACCAGTGGCTCCCAGAAGAGCTGGGAACAATAGTCCTCTCACTTGAGGTGGAGCTGTTCTGTGAACAGGATTAGTTGTCCCAGGTGGCTGATGTGAAAGAAGGACATTTGTCCAATATTTGTAACATTCTGTTAGCATCCAGTAGTTGGATTCTGTGGGTTTTCAGAAGATGAATTAGTGAGGAGGTGTGAAAGGGAAGAGGGCGTGGTGGGCCACATCCTCTGGGTGGTGCTTACTGGTGCTCTGTGAATAAGCTCTGAGGAATTTGAGTCCTGCCTTTCTGTTTTCATGGACACTTTCTAGGTGTTGAGGAAGTGTGTTGTCTGTGTGTAGTTTTATTTGAGTTACTTTGTTTAAAAGGTTGCTTTAGTGTTGACACTAGGGTCTTCAGAACAAATAAGATGTTTACAAACAAAGCACAGTTAATTGAAAGTGTTTCATTTTTGTAAATATTTTGGAGAGTTGTATAAAGAGAATTTTAAATTTTTCTGTGAAACATGTTTTAAAGTTACAGCAGCTGGATCAGAGGAAATAAGCTTTTCCAACAAAGCTTGGTACCACTGAGTGCTTTAGATATTTAGTTTGGGAAATAATCACAAAGCTTGTAACTGCTATGGGGCCTGTGGCTTCCAACCCTGCTCTGGTATTTTCAAGTGTGAAGTCTATCCTTATACTGAAGGAAACAAAGCAAAATGGCCAATGTAGGTTAGCAAACTTGTTTTCTCTCTGGAGGGGGCTGTTGGCAACAGAAATGTTGCCTTGTCTCCTTTGAAGAGTTGCTGCAAAGAGCCAAGCTCTTCTGCTATACAAGTAAAGCTGAGATATTAACCAGCCAAAGTGAAAGTTCTTCTGTTTTGTGATTTTTTTCCTCTTTGGATGAGGAATGTGGACTAAGGTCACTTATTTTGGTATTGCAATTTCTAACTTGATAAAGGAGGAAATCTTAATCTAAGTGAACATCTATGTTAAATACATCCGTCCTTAGTGGTTTCCCTGAGACCTCAAGTTTAGAGATAACTGATCACATAGGTACTGTTTAAGAAATTGAAAAAAACAAAACAAAAAACAAGCAAAAAGAAATTGGTACTAAGGATACTTTCTGTATGTGCCTTAGGGTAACGTCCGATTGGCTGATGAGGCTGGGACAAGTTGGGGTGGAGGATCCCTCTCTTGAAGTTACATTCACTTACCAAGTGTACTACTGTCTTTTATGTGGGTTATGTTATTTGGAGTAGTTAGGGCTCTTGATAGAGACCAGTGTTGAAGGATGGGTCTAAAGTAACCCAGGTCCTCCAAGCCAACACCTTGGTAGGTGCCCCAGCTGGAAGAGGGACAGATAAAGATGAGATGCAAGTTGATTGTGGTGATTTACGTTCTACCTTGGTGGACTCTTTTTGCAGCCAAAGGAAAGAAAGTATTGCTTTTTTCTTTTCTAGTGACCTTTCCACCATTCTGGAATCAGAAAGCAGAGCATTCCAGGGAGAGTTTGCATTCGCAGAATGTGGAGTTACCAACCCACTCTCAGCCCTGGTGGGCTTACCTTCCTGTAGATAAATAAAAGTTTTTCTTCTGAGGTGGGGGGGAGCTTATTTTAATATCTAAGAATACCCAATATTATAATAGATTACTTGTTTGACTACTGTTCAAACCCACTCTCAGCCCTGGTGGGCTTACCTTCCTGTACATGTTCCTCCTCTCCGTGGGCCTCTGAGGTAGCAGCTGCTCCTCAGCTGCAGTGTGCATCCTCTGACTGTCTAAATTCTTGTGCTTTTAGATCAAGCCCAGATGGCACAGCTTCCAGGAAGCCTTCCCTGCCTGTCCCTCAGCTGCCACACTGCCCTTCCTCCTCAGAGCCCTGGCCTGACACCCAGCACTCACAGTTAGTGTGGTACTAGTAGAGCACGTGAGTGCTCAGTTATGCAGGTTCTTTCTG